GGCCCCACCCGATAGACCCCCGGGAGCCTTCCGGTGGTCCCGGTACAATACCGATTACCCCCGAAACTTTCCCGATGGCCGAAACTTGACTTCCTATATATAAATCTTCACCTCCGGACCATTCCGGAACTCATCGTGACGTCCGGGATCTCATCCGGGACTCCGAACAACTTTCGGGTTACCGTATGCTAATATTTCTACAACCCTAGCGTCACCGAACCTTAAGTGTGTAGACCCTACGGGTTCGGGAGACATGCAGACATGACCGAGATGCCTCTCCGGTCAATAACCAACAGCGGGATCTGGATACCCATGTTGGCTCCCACAAGCTCCACAATGATCTCATCGGATGAACCACGATGTCGAGGATTCAATCAATCTGTATACAATTCCCTTTGTCAATCGGTACTTACTTGCCCGAGACTCGATCGTCGGTATCCCAATACCTAGTTCAATCTCATTACCGGCAACAGTCACTTTACTCGTGTTGTAATGCATGATCCCGTGATCAACCACTTGGTCACATTGAGCTCATTATGATGATGCATTACCGAGTGGGCCCAGAGATACCTCTCCGTCATACAGAGTGACAAATCCCAGTCTCGATTCGTGCCAACCCAACAGACACTTTCGGAGATACCTGTAATGTACCTTTATAGTCACCCAGTTACGTTGTGACGTTTGGCACACCCAAGGCACTCCTACGGTATCCGGGAGTTGCACAATCTCATGGTCTAAGGAAATGATACTTGACATTCAGAAAAGCTACAGCAAACGAACTACACGATCTTTGAGCTAAGCTTAGGATTGGGTCTTGTGCATCACATCATTCTCCTAATGATGTGATCCCGTTATCAATGGCATCCAATGTCCATAGTCAGGAAACCATGACTATCCTTTGATCAACGAGCTAGTCAACTAGAGGCTCACTAGGGACGTGTTGTGGTCTATGTATTCACACATGTATTACGATTTCCGGATAACACAATTATAGCATGAACAATAGACAATTATCATGAACAAAGAAATATAATAATAACCATTTTATTATTGCCTCTAGGGCATATTTCCAACAAAGGGCTACCGCCTTTCTTGAGCAACCTCGTCGGTTTCCTTCTAGCCATGACTTCCGCAATGTATCGACTGTTACGACTGTGGGGGGTGTCCGTCGGTTTGCCTTCGGATTCTTCTCCAATCTCACTATCTGTGTCAATACCGTTGTGACTGCGGGGGGATGTTGAGTATTATGATTATTAGGAAGTATAGGATAGACTATGATTTGGTCCTGCCTTGTCTTGTACTCCAAGTTGGTCATTGTACTCCTATATATATGCCCACGAGGCTCAAGTAATAAACAATGATTCCACCAATCCCTCTCTATCCCATCTAACGCTTAGTAAGCTCATTTGCACGAGATCGAGTTGGGGTTGTCGCTTCTCCATTCTCCCTTTGTCGTCATGGTGAGGGATGGGGACACGATGAGTGGCTTGAGCTTGGCTCACTCATATGATGTGTGGTATCCCCGGGTCTGCTGAAGAACTCGGAGCAAGTATTACTACTACTTGAGTAGAACATCAATGATGCCCCTGGAGGAGCTGCGGAGCTTGTCGGTGGTGCCTTCTTCTTCGAGGAGATTTGGCACTATCCCACCCCTTCATTGACTCTTTAGTCGAAAGGCGGCCTCCTAGATCTTCGTCGCCTAGTCATGATGCCAAATGAGAGGCACCTTGGCTTTGGCTTCGACGTATGCATCCTAAGCTGTAACACCCATGATGCGGCTATGCCTACAATGCGGTTATGTCTCTAAGTCGTGCTCCGACACGTGGGAGATATAGCCGCATCATGTGTGTTACATAAGCTTTCTTCAAGCATTCGTGCATGAGGCGGAGGTGGTGCAGCAACGATCTCATTGCCCCGTGTGGTTTGTCCCTGATGGCGGTGGAGTTGGCTCAGCGCTCAAGCCTATCATTGCAGGAGTACATTGAAGTTTGGATGTTGCTTTTGGGAACCTTCTTGCAATGTTTATGGACCTAATTATGAATTTCGTTTTTTCCCGGGGAAGGGGGCGGCAAGGAGAAGAGGTTCGTCGAATGTGTTGTATTGTGTTTGTTAAAATTAATGTGTTGCCTTTAATTAAGGCGGCTATGGGCCCTTCGAGGCCCTTCTCTTGGATATGTTGTATTGTGTTGCTTTTTAGTTAAGTCAACTCTGGGCCCTTCGAGACCCTTCTCTTGGATGTGTTGTATTGTGTTGCTATTTAGTTAAGACGGCTCTGGCCCTTCGAGACCCTTCTCTTGAATGTGTTCTATTGTGTTGCTATTTAGTTAAGGTGTCTCTGGGCCCTTCGAGGCCCTTCTCTTGGATGTGTTGTATTGTGTTGCTCTTTAGTTAAGGCGGCTCTAGGTCCTTCGAGACCCTTCTGTTGGATGTGTTGTATTGTATTGCTCTTTAGTTAAGGCGGCTCTAGGCCCTTCGAGACGCTTTTCTAGGATGTGTTGTATTTTGTTGCTCTTTAGTTAAGGTGGCTCTAGCCCTTCAAGACGCTTCTCTTGATATGATGTATTTTGTTGCTTTTTAGTTAATGCGGCTCTGGGCCCTTCGAGACGCCTCTCTTGGATGTGTTATATTTTGTTGCTTTCTAGTTAAGGTGGCTCTGGGCCCTTCGAGACCCTTCTCTTGGATGTGTTGTATTGTGTTCCTTTTTAGTTAAGGCGGCTCTGGGCCCTTCGAGACCCTTCTCATGGACGTGTTGTATTATGTTCCTTTTTAGTTAAGGCGGCTATGTGCCCTTCAAGACCATTTTCTTAGATGTGTTGTATTGTGTCGCTTTTTAGTTAATGCGGCTCTGGACCCTTCGAGGTCCTTCACGTGTTAAAAACGACCACTCTGGCTAGCTCTAACTATAGAAATAATATTGTTGATATTCATTCTCGAAACTACCTTTTAGTTGTGTAGTTTATTATTTTTCTCTTGGATAATTAGAGAGGTGAATGAGGGAGAAATGGAAAGAAAAAAAAAACCTCACCCTTAGCTAAGAGATGATATGATGAGGAGATAAGACATTTCCTTCCTTGTATGAGATGTCTTCTCTTATTCACGCATTTTTAGTTTAATTTTAATCACTTTATAATTTTAGGATCTCATAACATTAAACGCTAGAGATCACCCAAAAAACATTAATTGCCATGGATAATACTAAAAGATAATTTATAGCATGTTTTACAGTTTTGCTAAAACACATCTAGATATGCTATAAGTATTGCACATCAAATTATATTATTGATTTTACACTAAGATTCGTGCAAGCATTTTCTTTTGTCTTTTTTCCTTTTTCTTTCTAGTTTGATTGAACACTTAGATGTGCAAATAACTAGGGACTAGACAGACCCTTCCATGTTTATTATTTTCTCTGGATGATGTGGAATACTTTCTTCGTCTGAAATTCAGTGTCTCAACTTTGTACTAGTTCTAGTACAAATTTATACTAAAATCAAAACACTTATTTTGAGACAGAGGAAGTACATAATAAGAGAAAAATTGCCCGAAGGCGAATGAATAGAGAGAACAGTCAGTGAACACAACAATGATAAACGTAACTTCTGCAGGAAAGTTTTACCGCATTGGCGACATTGGCGGGTTCGTCCCCCCCCCCTCCCCCCCGAGTGAATGGCGGGT